TGATCAACATTGATTACGAGGTGATTTTTCCAACAGAGAATCAGCTCACTAAAAAAGCATCTTGCCGTGCACATGTAGCACGTACCAGCCTTTATTAAGGGATCAGCTGATTATTATTCTGCTACCGGCTTTTCTTTTCTTCTTCTACTCCCTCTCTTGCAGGAGGGCTGCATACAAATATAGCAATCGATTGAGAGGAGATGTACTTCCTTTAGGAGATTAATTACAAACATAGGGATGCTGTGTCTAGCCCGTGTGTATGATTGATCTTGTAGGAGGAAATGCAATAGGAAACTAATGCTTCCTTTTATCCAGTAAGCAAAGTTCAGAGATGTTTACATTCTGCTAGGTAAGCACAGCTGTCTAAAGATGCGAAGACGGATGGACTGTCCTGTCAGCACAAATTCCTGCCGAGGTAACAGGCTACGCCGTCTCTGCGGACCTCTCTCCGGCCAGGGGGCTGTAGGGCCAGAATGGCTAATTTAGCAAACAGCTTAATTGTTTCACATTTTAATTAGCAGGGAGATCCAGGCAGAGGCGATGCACAACGGGAAGCAAGGGGAAGGTGGTGGCGGAGCGCGCTGGTGGGGCCGTGGGGCCAGGAGGAAGGCTCCTGGTGGTGCCGAGCGCGGGGTGGCCGTCGCAGGGCAGCTTTTCAGAAATTACAAGGGTTTTTTGTTTAAAACCTGGCTGGCGCAAGGAGCGATCTGCATATTTGCTGTCAGTGGCTTACAGCGTGTAGTTGTGGAAGCATCTGTAAAAAGTGCAGCGCTTAGCTGCCCTTGTTTCTATTTGTGTATAAATATAATCTTACAAACTCTGGATTTGGCTCAGGGTCCTTCTGAAAAGGTTCATTTCATTCTTGGGCACAGGCTGGCATTTGTATTTAGGCTGAGAAACAGTGACGGATCCAGTGTAGTGACTCAGCCTTCGTCCTCGCGGTATTTTAAATAGTGGATGTGCTACTGCTGCTGTTTAACTCCTGCTAGAGCTGCTGAAATATATGGTGTGTTTAAAATACTGATACAACATTGAATTTCTACTCAGGCAGAGGAGGAGATCTCCACCTGGGATTGGTTTTCTCAAAAGGAAAAAGAAATCAGAGGGAGCAGGAGGAGAAGGAGGGGGGAGCCCAAGCCGTAATATCTTGTAACAGTGTAAAAATGCCCTTCACCCCAGGCAGTAAAGCAGTCAGCTCTAGCAGCGTGTTGACGGAGAATCCTGAAATCGATGCTGCAGTCTGCATTATATTTATACAAGCATATGCACTGCGCTGATGACGGGGGAGAGAAAGGGCTGTTCCCCGCGTTAAAATAATTAGTATAATAAATACAGCCTGGTGAGCGCCAGAGGAAGCAGGGATCCTTTTGTTCACATCTCGCCACTTGGAGCTGCGTAAGCAAGTCTTGCGGAGTTAAGCTCGGAATTTACTTACCCTTTTATTCTCTGTCTCGAGGTCCCGAGCAGGATGCGCTGCTGATGCCAGAACTAACAAGCGACGCTGGATCTCCGCGGCCTTAGAGCAACATCGAGGATTTCGGGGGGGTGGGGGGGGGGGGTTTTTTCTTTTTCTGCTCTCTGTCCATGCAAATCCTGCCTGATCAACATGGATCCATTTGCTGTTTAGCAGTCAGTTTGCTAGGCTTGACAAAGGTTATTGCAATAATTGATGTTCCTCTTCTAATAATTAATGTTAATGAGTCCACTAAACAGTAAACAAGACAACAAAGAACTGTTAATGAGACAGTCTTTACTCATTTGTTTAATCTTTTAGTAAGATAATGGGCGATAAATATAATGCTATTCAGCCATCTTCAAGTCCTTAATGCGTGGAGAGTGTTTTAAAAAGAGATTTGAGCTGATTTTCTACACTTCCATTTAGTAAATTCAGCTGACTGGGTAGGTGTGGCGCCTGAAAGAGTTGGGAAACCTATATAATTAAGTGCCTTGACATTCTGCTTCTGAAGGACATTGGCGGATATCCAAATGCTATGTTCTGCTCTCAAACCATTTAATTGAAACCATACAAGGGGGGGGGGCAAAAGAGAGGGAGATCTTGGCAAAAACCTTATGTGTGGTTTTTCGCTATTGGATTGACCAGACAGGGCAACAAAGCTGATAAAACAGGATTAGCAAAATTGCATTGTTGGATGTTATATGCTGTGTGACATGTACTACAGCAAAGGAATTTGGCAGGATTAACCTGCAGAGGATAAAGATGTACCAGACAAGAGGGCTGAATTAATAGACTGCTGTGACCAAAGCAAGGAAATCTATTTGCATGGGATATTAAGGGCGGTAATAACCTTGCGGGGTGGGGTTGCAGTTGATGTCCCGGGTCTTGCACTGACCCGGCACCCGAGTCTTGCTCACCTCCCAGAAACTTGGCGTACAAAAACCAGCTCGTTGGCACAGTTTCTCGTTACACTTTCCTGTTTCTAAATATATAAAAAAAAAAAGCTAATTCCTAGGCAGGATTATCTGTGTTATTGTTTTTTTTGTGCTGGGTTTTTTTTCCCCAAACTGAGAAGTTTATTTTCCTATTTATAGGAGATGAGATTCTTCTCGTAATGCACTAATGTCATCCTAATGTAAATATTTGGGTTTGGTGGTTTTCCTCAGGGCTTCTAGACCCGGCCAAACAGCACGGGGGAATGCAGTTCCCTAGCTGCTGGTTACTCAGCCCTTTAGGAGACTGGACACTTATATATGCGTAACCTAGCCGAAATCATAAGAAAGCTTTCGAACAATGTAGCATTAAAGAACATAAAAGCTATTGCCAATAGATGAATGAATAAAATCACGCTAAGTAAAAATGGGAGAATATTAAAATTTTAGCTCAGACATAAGACTACGTCAGACTATTTGACCAAGGGGATAAAGAAGCAGAAAACCCGCCTCCATCTCGGGTACATTAAGGGGAGAGAAGGTCTTAGATTAAATGTTCATTTCTCACTTGTACAACATATAATACTGCGTTTTACTTGAAAAGGCTTTTAAATTGGCTTCTTCGGGGAGCAAGCAATGCATATACAGTAGCCAGCTTTTTTTAAGTAGTCTGATACACTTCGGCACAGATTGCATGAAAGGTTTCAGAAGGATTTAAACAACCTTGAAAAAGGCTCATATCATTTGTTTTTCTTTTCCCACCCACAGTACTAGTGGCAGACTTTAGTGTTCCCAGGGAACAGAGAATGTACAAAAAGTATTTGGCATTACTCCGTGTGTGACACAATGTGCTTCATCAAGTGTGCTCAGTGCCACCACAGGCGGTGAAAGATCTGCTTGGGGGAGACGAGTCACCTTCATCCGGCATTATCGTGTCACCGTTGATCAGCACCCGCCACAACACAAGTTCAGCTTTCAGGGTTGAAGGCTGAATAATAGATACGCATAAAATATAAATACATGGTTTTTTTCAGCGTGTGAAAATTCCAGAAACCACTCTTTAAATAAAAGCTCTGTTAGTACAACATGACCAAGACTTCACAAGTGTGCACGCATGCACGGGTGTCAAGAAATTTAGCTCCATTTCCTACAGCGATTTAAGTTGCATAGCCTGCCTCTCTGGGATATCTTCTGTTAGTGTGTATGTTAATCGCTCTTCTGCCCAGGCACTAAACGTGACCGTGTCTCCCTTCTCTGCAGGGGAAAGACAACGCCTGAAGTTTCCTTTGGATTAAATTGGGCTGTGGGCATGGATGGGGGGGACGCTTCCTTTGTCAGCAGGGTTGGAAGTCTTGCCTCCACATCTAAGCAATTTCAGGAGAACTATTAAGAACCAGCGGTTTCTCCCGGGAGGTTTGCGAGGCTTCACATTGCTTGCTTTCTGTCCGTTTGCTTAAGGACTCCCACAATGGGTCCTCATCCCAGGGATAGTCCCGAGCTGATTCACAGAAACTCTGCTTTCTTTTGGATTTTGATTGCTGAGGCAAGTCTGTAATACACAGGGTGAAGTTTATTATTTACTTAATTTTCACATGCCCCTAGGTGAATTAGCCCAATAAGGAGTTGTTGGTAACCCCTTAAGCACTACCCGACCATGCCAAGCAAGTTCTTGTACTACCCGTGCAGGATTTTGAGGGGAATCGGGGAGAAGCGCGTGTCCGTTTCTACGTTTTTTTGTGTGCTTGAAAAGCTGCAGGACCACCTAGATCCATGCTCTGCCCAAGGCCATTCCTGTAGTGCTGCAGGATTGCAAGACTCTCTCACTGCCCGAGATACATGCTGCGTGCAGGCTACGATGGTCAGCATGCTCACCAGCGTCAGCCCTACGCAGGCAGGGGAGATTTTTTCCCTTGAGCAATACAAAAGCCCCAGAATCTGTAACTCCCTGCGTGGTTTTAAAGGAAGACCAGCTTTCCTGGTCAGCAGCAGGTTGTGTCCCTCAGCTTCTGTGGGCTCCTGAGGGATGGGTATTGGAGGGGAACGGAGGGGTGCATACTGGGAAATTCATGGGTCCCAGCAGGACTTCTGTGGGGTGGGGGTACCTTCCTGAATGCCAACACACTGGGCAGCTTCTGGGAATAGACCGCACACGTGCTGGTGTCCCACCCCCCGCGGAGGAGCGGACGGGGTGCAGGCGTGGGGGTTAATGGTGGCGGCGCGCTCAGGAAGCCAGGCAGTCCCTGGGGCACCGCTCTCCTTCTGACAACGCCCTGGATCTGTGAAAAAGCATCCTGTTTCTCCCGTGTCTCCGAGGGCTTGGCTGAGTTTCTAGGTTGCTTCCCCCGCCTGCGAGCCTCCAGCTCTCCTGAGATGAGCGCAGGAAACGAACAGCAGGAGCGCAGCTCTACGCATTACCGGCATCGTGCTGCAGTGCCTGCCTCTACAAAGCAGTAGATCTTGAATGCAGAGCGAGTGTGCCTTTTTCTTTTCTTTTTTTTTTTTTCTTGGAGACATACACCCTTCACACTTTCATATTTTAAACAGGCAGGCGTATATAACCTGTGAGATCAATGGACCTAACCCTGTCACTTTGCTTTCCAGCACGTGGCGGGATGGAAGATGGACCCCGGAGGAGGGCAGAGAGTGGAAGAGCCCAACGGCAGGGAGCCTGGCCGGGGGACCCCCTCGGGTGCCGTGCAGCAGCTGGTGTTGTGAATCAGGCCGTCACCAGTCAGAGAACGGCTACTTCACAACACCAGGGTCGCACCGCACCACAGTTCGACCGCCGGCCGGAGAGGAGTGGAGGTTCCCGTGGGCAGGCAGGGGACGTGGAGCACCTCCTGGCTGCCTCCACACGAGCCCAGACCTGCAAAGGTAATCAGGTGCTCAACTCCTATTTAGGTACCAGCCTCCCACTGAAGTCTGAAATAGAAGTTAGGCCCCTAAATATCTCTGTGGGTCTGGCCCCGAGACCCCGCCTTGCTGTGCAGTGCAGGGCAGTGCTGTCAGCCGTGCTGTCACTGCCTGCTTGCATGCTGTGTGAATGTTAAGGAACAGGTAACTTTTATTAAGCCATGGAAAATAATGGGGAAAAAAAAAAAGCCTCTGCATGCTCCATGTGTAGTTCTCCCCGACAGTCGTGTCTGTGGTCCTTGCCTATGACTAGTCCTGGTCCCTTCCCTATCTAGACACATAGACGTGTTACCTGTAAAAGATGCTGTATATGCCAGACTCCTTGGAAATGACACTAAAACAGCCCTAGGTATGTTGTAATGAATGAAAAAGCACCAAAAATAAACAGTAGAGTTGTCCAGAAGTGGTACCAACAGCTGCTGTCCTTAAAATAGGGAAAACGCTTGATTTTGCATTGCTTAAGCAACCCCTCCTAAATTATTAGGTGTAGAGGGACAGCAAAGCACACTCCAACCCACCCTGTCCGGAGTGGCCCTGTAACACGTGCGATGTGTTTCAGGTCTGAAATGCAAGCTCTTCCCTGCCTCCTCCCTCGTACCGTAACACCAGCGTGACGTTAGTTTGAGGGGAGCAGGTTACAGCAGAGTGCTTTCCACCCGAAACTAGGTCGTGTTCGTGGAGGTCAGCACAAAGCTGATGGACATATACAATCCCGTAAGCCAAACTGAAATGCTGTTCAGTTTTGATCTCTGAAAGCAGCCGTCTGCTTTTGGACTCAGGATGGTGTTTTCTCTGGTGGGTTTTCCCAACTCTGGTGGGTTTTCCCTTGCTGCCACCCTGCCAGATAGACTGGCTATATGCTCTTAGGTGTTGGCTGGCTGTTCTCTTGTGTGACATAAAGCACAGGATATGTCTAAAGCAAAAAGTGGAGAAATGCAGAGAGCAAACAATCAAGGTAACATAGAACTGATGAAGGATTTTTTGAAATTTTTCCTTGTTATCCTAACTCATCTGATTGAAGCCGGCAGTAAAAATGACTTAAATCCCATCCTGGGTGTATGATTGCTGGCAGGGAGATAGACGTAGGGTAGAGTCAGGCTATATACAAGATCAGAAATAGCGTGGGACAGCTGGAATTGCACGTGAAAAGAGACAAAGGTGGTTATATTAGACCCATCCTAATATTTCTGTTCAGGTGGGCTTCCTACAGAAGTAACCCTGAACTCCTTTCACAGCAAAAAGTCCACAAGCGACACCATGAACAACGTAAGAGATGTATGGGAGGCTCACTCGTACGTTAGGAGAGGGCAACTTGTTGATGCAGGCTAGCGTTGGCTTTTTCTCATTGATTAGAGGAAAAGCAAGACCATGTTTCTAGTTCAGGCACTATGGCAAAGAGGAGTATAAATTTGTCAACCCAACGTGCAAGAAGTCTGTTTTATTAAACGTGCTCTCTGCTAAGGCAAACCGTGTGCTCTGTGTGGTAGTCTCATTGTTCATTATAACCTTGTTTTAAAGCTTGATACCTTTCACTCCAGGGTTTGTTTCATGGGGTAAAATACACAATTTTTAGAAACAGGAGGCAACAATGAAATAGCCCCAATAACCCTTGCACGCACACACTGATTTACATGAGCAGCTATTCATATATAGAAAAAAACACCATGTCATCTTTTATTGTGAACCAGAAACCCATTTGACCTATTCGGCTTCTGTCAGTAAATACACATAACATTTGAAATAGGTTAATGCTTAATATCCACTGGCGGGTGACCTGATAGACTATCTCCATACTTCTCTCTGAGTGTGGTATGTGGAGACAGGCCATTTTCAGTTCCCTTTGTTAAAGAATTTCTCAGGGACGTCACACTTCAGAGGTACCTTTGGGGCATTTATTGTACTCCCTGTTTCTAACTTGAATCCATCACACTTTATGCTCTTCTAAAGCGATTTCCTAGCAACTTAATGCATGCCATAATGTAGCACTGCTGCTGAAAATCAAGCACTCCTGCTTGTCATTAAGGAGCCTGATGATGTCGTTTTGTGGGGTGGATCGCAGGCTGAATAGCCGACCGTCAGCTTCAGGTGATGGAAGCAATTTCTGTTTGCTCCCTTCAGCAGTTAGAAGTACTTGATGTTAGCATGTGCCACGGCGAAAGGTGAACGCACAAAATAAATTGTTCAATATGGGTTTTAAATTTGTGTGAGTGTTATTCTTAAATGAGCACCTACAGTTCGTGTTCGTGTCGATCCCAGTTCTGGCTGCTGAGCTGGAAAAACAGGGGCTTGCTGAGTTCCTGGGGAGCCCCGAAAATGGGAGGCCCTTGCAGTCAGCGGGTACGCCTGGAGAGCTTTCTGGTGCTTTCCAAATCCTTTCTCCTACTTGCATAGTATTATCAAAAATGGTAGTTTACCCCCCCCTAAAAATACCCCATTAGAATTGTTGAAAGGCCTAATTTTATAATCTTAATAAAACACTGTGCTCAGCAGTAGGGGAAAAAAAGAGCAAAGTCTATCAAAGCTGAAATGCTGGGCTGTAATCTCTTGTGGGATTTTTTTACTTTTAAGGGGTTGTTATTCCCAAAGTGCTTTTTATGTTTTAAGCAAGTAATATTTCGTTTCACCCTTGAACCCTTTAAAATCTAACTCTGATGGGTTTCTTTTCTCAGCGCATCCACTTAGTACTACAGATGTTCTTCGATTATTTTGAATGGCTGCCTTTGTTTCTTTCCCGGGCTCGCCAGCAGTGCATGTAGCACTTCAGAGAGTAGCGTCCTTGTAAATTTTGTTCTCTTTCCCCTGCGCGCAAAAGCCAAGCTGACAGGCACAGTAGGGCTCGGCATCTCTCCCTTTCCATGTTCGCATGCACGCTGCTTTGTTATCGTGGGGTTCCTCATGAAAAGTGCCATTAGCGGATTTCCTTTTCATCTCTTTAATTGGCCTTCCTCTTTTGCAAACAACTAATATGAAATTAAAATGCTATTTCAGGCAGCATTGCAAAGCAAACAGTAGGCGGGCCTGAATTTTGGTACCCGCAAAGCCGAGTCAGGTTTTATTTCAGTGCTGTAACAGCATCTCAATAGGAGAGAGAAAACACAGAAACAGTCTTCAGGCATCTTTACACAGTGAGCAAGAGGTGATGCCAAGGAGGAAGAAAAGGGGCTTGTTCACAGCTACTGTTTTAAAAACCAAAGTAGGATTTTGATAGGAAGGCTGATCACATTAAATAACCTCTGAAACTCCCATCTGTTTATTCTGTGCTTGGTACTTTGAAATCACTTCTGTAGGACTTGTGCTTTATCCAGTACGTGGCAAAGAAAGCAGGAAAACAGAAAAAAAGGCAAAACGAACAAACAAAAAGGAGTTGGGAGGAAAGGGGACGGTGTCCCTGTAGCAGACGTGGAGGCCGTGAGGCCGGTCTGCCTTGCCACGGCCGCCCACCCCACCAGCAGCAGCAGCAGGCACGGCAGTGCCACCGCCACGAGCCGCAGAGCAAGCGCCGCTCAGCCAACGGCACTATTATCTTCTTGTGGTTGAGGCAGATGGGAAATGGAGGTCTTGGGCAGCAGAGACGTTGTGCTCCTTCAGCATTTGATTTCCAGAGCCCTGTATGCGTTGCTGTAAGGCGATTGCTCTGCAGCGCAGCGTGCCTGGCGATGCCCAGCTTTGTCGCCCTGTAGTAAATGATTGACAGCGATTTTTACAGTTCACAAATGCAAGTATATACATTAGATATGTATTTTTTTTTAAAAATCAGTCTTCCCAGGGTATAGTCAGGCCTCAAGCATGCACATAAAAGGGGCCAAAACATCCCCATTGTGCAATGAAGTGGCACCACAAAGAGCATAAAATCACAAAGTAAGGCTAAATAGCCATTTCACTCAAAGGTTGATGTAAACAACAGAAAAGAGTAAGCAGTCTCAGAAGATCACATAAACTACTCAGAGAAGTTTTACAACTCATCCTCTAAGGAGATTCTCCCTGCTTAAAAGCCAAAGCCATGGAGACTTTGCTGTGTCATACTCCTTGTCTTTATGGGAAATTCCAAAAATGATGAAGCTTCTTTGACACACAGTTACCTCTGTTCTTTAACAAGACTAACTACATGTGCCTCAATAAATGAGGTTTTATGTTGCATTTGGTTAGACCTAGTCCTCCAACCATGCCTTAGCAGGAAGGAGCCGCCTACACGTGCAAGCGTAGTGCATCCAGCTCTCACCGCCACAGACACCATTTTGACAAAGATGTGCAAAACAGCCCAGTCGGCAGCTCTCTGATGCCTGCTTCATGCCAGGAAAACTCCTCTGCTCCCAGGGGGGCATGGGCACTGTGCCAGGGGCCAGGAGGGAGGCTGGGACCAGGCGCCCACCCCTCTGCCACCGCAGCTTTGTCCCCCCTCGCTGCTCCATCCACAGAGCCCAGGGCAGGGGCTGGGGATGGGCTGGTTTGTTTCTGGGCTGGAAGAGCACAGAAAAGCAGAACTGGGAAGAGACCTGAGGTGTATTAGTATTTTGAGTAAGCGGCATCTCAGTGATTCAGCTAAAAATTTCAGTGGTTTGGGAAGAAAAGCCCAAATCTAGAGAACTCTTCGGCGTATATCAAAACTCAGCATCCGAATATATTGTCCCCTGTGTGCCTTTAGTGAAGTGGTTATTAAGAGGACTAAACCTGTATTTCAGTTCCTTCCTTGGCACAGGTGTCTCATGCCCTGAACTCTTTCCACCGTGGCCTCCTTGCCATTTGGGATGTGTAGCTGCGGTAGCACACCGTGTCCCTGGGCTCTCCGGAAGAGCCGGCAGCTCCTCTGTGTGAATAGCAGCTGTGGAATGAAGCGGCTGATAACACTGCAAATTACATTTCATTTCCAAAGCTCCGGCTGAATTTCGTAGCCACAGAGACGCCAGATCAGGTAGAGGTCTGAGGAGGCCGCACGTTTTGTGCTGGTTTTACCCTTCCCTGCT